GAGGTGGGTGTCCTGGCAGGAGAGCCTGCCTGTGGTCCTGCTGCGGTCCCCAGCGGAGGAGTCTTCGCTGCTTCCGAGAGTCTTTCCCACGTGGCGTGCTCTGTCCTTCGAAGTTTGTCCGCCTGAGTTGGGACCCCTGTGACTGCCCTGTCCCCTTTCCTTCTGTTGCCCTCTGCGTGACGCCACGTTTTCACACAGGGTCGTGCCTGGGGCTACGGCCCCTCACATGAGGCATTGAGAGTAGTGTCAGACAGGACTTGGGGCCTCTCCCTCCTGCACATGCGTCTCTTCCGCGGGAATTAAAATGTGAGCAGGCATGCCATTTTGTGACCAGTTTCGCCACCGCCTGTGGTAGCAAGACAGAGTACAGGTAAGCGGATGCCTTCTGCACTTTGCTTTTGCTGGAGCCAGAGTACAGTATCTGAGATGGTCAGTGTCAAGTCTGTGTAGTGACAGTCTTTGTCCTTTCCTCCCTGCGCAGGCTGCAGAGGTCATGCTAGGAGCCAACTTTGCAGTGTCTGAGACTTTGTCTTGTGGGTAGTAACAGACAAACTCAGTGCCCACTGGGCTTTGGGGAAAAACTTTTGCTCAGAGCGTGTTCTGTCAGTACACCTTCAAAAGGCAGAAGATGGTCTGGAACCCCTCTTTCACAGGAGAGTGAGGCAACATCCTCAAATACCCGGAAAGATGATATCGGAACCCTTTCGATTCACTTGCTTAGCTCTGCAGAATGCTCAAATTTCACTTGGAAGTTTGCTCTCTCTGATGTTACCATGGCTTCTCCACAGGCAGCTCCTGCTGGAAGAAGCACCTATCAAGAAGTGATGTACAGATTTTGCTCCCTGATACCTTCAGATGGACGAAAGGGTCATCAGACTTCCATCTTATTGACAGTGATATTTGCTTAAATGAGATGATGCTTGTTTTTTTGCAATGCCAGCAGTGGTCTCCAGCATGCTGTATTCTTGGCTTCGTTCAGTTGTAAAACTGCTTTGCTCTGCTGACCGCCCTGGCACAAACGGTGCCTGAAGCTACTGTGGTCAGAGCCCTGGGAGCTTCTTTCTTGGGAGCGGCTGGGCCTTGATCCTCTTTGCTGTGACAAAACTCTCCTATTACACCGAGTAGTTGTGTCCCAGCTGTCTGTGCTGAAATGGTTTTGTGGGAGGTATTTCCTTGGAGTCCCTGCAGTGCTGTTGAGAATATATTGTTATGGCTTAGCTTGCGGTAACACCCTATGGAACAGGCTTTTATTTCTGGAGAAAGTGTGCTCTTTTCTCTTGATGGGCATAGTGGAGAATCATCTCACACCTATGCATTCTCCCCTCCCCGGGTATGCTGTAGGAGTTCAGGAGGGGTTCTGGGAGGGAGTTTGCAGAAGGCGTAATATAAGAAATTGAAATAGCCATGGGCCTGGCAGGTAAAGAAAGTCTTAAAGAAACCAGCTGGTGGTTTATGTGGGTGTGATCGCTGGTTAGCCTTGAGATAGGGTGGCTCACTGTCAGGCTGTTCTTGTACTGGAACTGGCCATCCCCGTTTGTGGACTGATGCCCTGGTTAGGAATAGACCAGGGCGTGATGTAGGGGTCCAGCTGACTGACTGGAAATTTACTGCAGTTGTACTCGGTGCATCTCACATCGTAGCCATTCTAATATCTATGGAGAGATCATAAAGGCTCCAGTCCTTGGGCACCCCTGGAGAGGACTAAGAAATGGTTACAGTCTTCTGTTTGAAAGCAGCGAGCTTTTCAGCAGCAGAAGGGTGAGGGCTTCCACGTCTTACAAGATTCAAATATGTTATTACTGGATCTTAACCACCAGGAAGAAACGTTTCTGTCAATAGTCTCCCTTCAGACAGTTCTTTGTTGCTAAGTGTTGCTGTTAACTGAAAACCTTGGAGCTACTGGAGAAGAGACAAAATCCACTATAAATAAGCCTCAGCCTTTTCCTTTGCTCCAGAATTGGAGGCCTCATACGTGATCATATTTGATACCAAAATGAGCATTTAATAGAACTAATATTGTTTTTCCCTTCACCCTAGATTGGCAATCGCCTTTCACTTTTCTGGAAGCTTGGCCTTGGCTTGCCTCCAAGTGGTGGGGTCAGCTGTTACAATGGGTGTCTCATTCAGGCATCTGGTCATCTTGAAACCTTTTCAAGGAACCTTCCCAAAAGAAACGCAAAATAAAAAAAACAGTACTTTTTTTCTGGAACTGGCAGTAGTGGAGGAGGCCTCATGTAGTTTATTTCAGCATAGGAGATTTTATTCTTATTACTGATTTTGAAGACAAAGGGCTTTGTCTTAAACCTCTGCCATATTCACACCTTCATGCGCAGTTTCACATTCAGGATGGTGATTCTGTCCTCGGTAGTTCCTTGGGGTTTTAAAACTGGTTTAAGTTTCACCCTGGCTTTTTTTTTTTTTTTTTAATTCGATGTCAATCCACCCAGTTTCCACCCAGCTCAGATTTCTGGTATGAACATACCATTTGTCCTATTGTTCTGGTCTTTTAATGACACTCAGAACCACCCAGGAAGTGTTTTTCAGTCAGAGCAGCTTGCTTGGAGGAAGCAAAAGTACCTGTCTATCCGTGTTTCAACATTTGGGCTTATTACAAGGAAATTCACTTCCATGGGTGAACAACTTGTTTAACATAATTAAAAAAGATCTTTGTTGTGAAATCAATAGGCAAATCATCTGACTTGGAGCATAGATCTTACGGGATTACTGCTGATCTCTCCTTGACCTGGGCTCTGTATTGCGAAAGAGACTCCCAACAATGGTGCATATCCTCCACTGTGTGTCTTCTCTCACAAATGTGTTGTTAAAACCTCCTTCCCTAGAGCACAACTGTGATCTCTTGTGCCTTATAGCCTAATATACTTCCCCCAAGCTCTATGAAAACAGTATGATATCTTAGTATCTTTTCAACTCCTGTTGTGCGTATGTATCTCCCACAGCAAGTTCCTTAACTGTAGTGGTGTATCTGTAATTCCTCTGCCCAAATCTCTGTTTGATAACTCCCATTCCTGGGTAGAAGTATCTGCATTAGCTTCAAATTTAGACCTCTGCCTCCTCCAGGGGCTCCCTACGGGTCACAGAGCTCACAGTCTGCCATCTGACGTGCCGAGCATCCCTGCCTGTGCAGAAGGACAAGCACTAACAATGCTGCAGCTATGCGTTATGTCATGAGGCAAGACGGAACATGATTGTT